TTTTAGGCTAAGTCAAGTCCCATAACAGTCCAAGCCCGCAAGGAACACCAAGCCCATCCATCTAGGACTGCCTGCCATGTGGACGACATGACAATCTAACAAACATTTATTTTGGCCGAACATGTTCTACGCAGATAAGACAACCACTAGGCCACCTGAAATAAAGTACTTATTCAATATCACATCGACATCAAAGCAGGAGGTTTCTCTGGAGTATGGATCTCGAATATGTGTGTGACTGTGCATTTAACCTCGTCGGAGGCGGCCAAATAGCAGATGGTCCCTGAAATAGGTCTCCTGACGCTGCATTTAATGTTGGAACCCTTATAGGATCGAGTATGAATATCCCTCGATGGCATTAATGGTAAGTCAACTAATCCATCTCTCACTACACCAATTCTATCATCTCTCTTACTAACTTAATGATTAGAGAGTGTCTCAGGAAAACGCATGAGGACCTTTGTGTATGATTCCAAAGGACACATTCTAGAGTCTACGAAGCATCTATATGGGTCTCTCATGTACCTTCTCAGCTTCCTGGTTGTGCCTTGCAAAACCTCCTAGCAACATTCCCGACTCAAGCAGATAGTTTATTTATTAATTGAGCCCAAACAAGAGAGAGGGTATTAACTATTAGGCAATAGTATTTAAGGGGTCATTAGTATGAGTCATTTACAAAATGAATCATTTGCTCCAAATATAGCCAATTGAGAAATATAGATATTTGTAAATGTATTGATTGTTTGAAAATTTTTAGATTTATCATTTTGCCCTTATGTATAATGTGTTTCATTGTCTTGTTTCCTATCATAATAAAACCAATCACGTACCACAAGATTATTTTGCAACCAACAAGACATATTATTACGAGGCATGTACAATACTATTTTTTTATTTTAAATAATAATTTTACGTTAAATTTCTTTAACAGATCTAGTCTCAAATTTAGACCAATTACAAAGAGTAATGTGAAGTCCTGCTTAGGGGTGGTAAATGGTTAGTACTGATAACCAAACCGATTATGGCGGTTAATGGTTTATCGATAATCGCTAGTTTCTTTGTGGTTTGGTTTCAGTTAGTTGTATTTTGCTTAGTGATTAACCAATAAGAAAATCGATAACCGCATACTAGTATAATCACATAGTTTCGGTCTTTGGCTATGAATAAAAGTTTGAAGGTTCAAAACCAAGCAAAGTGATAATTCTAAACATATCAATTTCCACTTATTGCCAACAATCTTCCATCCAAAATCTTAAATGTGTTGAAGAAGTCATAACCCAAAATTAATACTCTCCGACTCCCGTTTGCAATCGACAGAGCGAACATGAAACCCTAGTAGAGTAGTAGTCTTTGTTTCTATAATGTTTATGGGTGATGATGATCTTGTGTTTGATGTCTTGGTAATTGTTACTTACTAATTAGATGAAGTCATTTGATTATTTTTAATCTTATGTGTTGCAGTTTGGATTTGAATTATGAATTCACGATGATGTTATATTGATGTTATTTCTTATCATTAGTATTTTATGTTAATAATGTAGAAGTGTAGTTAAATTGTTTACAGGTGGTGATTTATAGATTAAATGACACTTATTAAACTTAAATGGATGATGATTTGTGCATTGCAAGTGGTTATTCTTTCGCTTTATTATATTTTGTGAAAGAAAATAGAAGTTACTTGTTTGATTTGATATATTCATACTTGTTGGAACATATGTTTTTGGTTATTGGTTAACCGCCAAACTAACTGCTAATCTACACATAATATAATACGCCGAAGGGAAAAATGGGAGCCCCATTTCAAATTTCCTGCAACGAGAGTGAAAGTAGGAAGGACATTTTGGTCTTCACAATTACTTTTTTTTATTCATTAAAAAGACACGTACTGGGATTCGAACCATGACCATTTTAAAGAAAAGCAAGGATAATAACCAATCACACTAAGCACATTTGTTATATCTTTTTAAATTAGAAACATATAATAGCAGGGAGGAAAAAACCCTTCCCCCATTTCAAATTCCCTGCTCCATGAGCGTTTGTAGGAAGGGTAGAATAGGGAGTGTCAATTTTTTTTTCTCTTTCCTCTGTGGAACGGGCCAACTTACCGTACACATGTGAATTTAAACGGGCCCAGGAGTGTCAATTTTTTTTTCTTTAAGCCCTTTTATTTCTCCGTGGTGACAAAATATATATGAAAAGGTAAAAATAATACTCCTTTTATTGTTAAAAATAAAACATTTAACAATAAACTAATGCATGGTATCTAATGGGCTAACCGCCAACCATAAAATAGAAGAGTTGAATGTGCCTGACCTACATGGGATTTGGCCATCAAGTAAAATAAATGAACATCATTGGTTTGTCATTCTAAAATAAGCTAATTTCTCTGACATAATATATATTATGCTATTATTTTATATCTTAGTGGCTAAAATATAATGTATTTTAAAGTTATTCAATGGTTCAACCTCGACCAACACAATTAGTCCAATTTTTATCATTTCAAATATATATTTTATAATTATTTGATATCGTAATGATCAAATTATAGTGTATTTTATAGGGAATCGTTTGGTATTTGTTAGTAAAAAATTAAACATAAAGATCTATTTGGTTATTTTAAACATTATAACGATTCTAAACATTTTCAGTTCCTTTTGAATTTTTATGGTTTTATTCCCGAATAAGTGATGTGCAAATGGCGAATTATAGTCGTCTCTTTTCTTTCACTATTTTTTATTTTCAAATAGAAAGTTTAAAAGTAAAGAATAATTAGAATTTGGCATGGGTCGTCAAACAGGCTGAATTTCAAGTTTTGGCCCGTTTGTTTTATGCATTGCAAATTTATTAGCATTTTGATGGAAATGGCTTGGAATAAAGACATATAAGTTGTACCTTTGCAGAAATGTCCTCAAATGTTTTAATGCTTTGTGAATCAAGTTCCGTGACTTTTGTGATGGTGTATGTGCTTGACAATTGCTCGATGTTGTAATTGCTTAATTTGAGAGTAAATCTTTTGATTTTCCCTATGAGTTGTGATACCAGTTCTGGTGGTTGCAGCATGTTGTCGTTGTTAGCCTGTAAAAGTTGTTCCGCCGTGGTGCTAAATACCTTTCTTTCTTTTTTAACAAATTGTGTAGTAGTGCTATGAAACAGACCATTCATGAACGCTACGCTTATTATGGTCTGTTCTTACTTCCGGTGGTGAGAAATTGTGAATTGAGAATCATATTCGCCTACCGCACTGTGTCTGGCTGGTGGCTGCTTACTGTGCTCTCTAGAGTTATGAAACAGACTACCCATGAACGTTTCCCTTAAGAGTCCATAACTTTTGCGAAAAACCAAATTTAGGCAATCAAAGGTGGTGGATGTGTGATGATTTTTATGGCTTAATTGTTTGTGAATTGGATATCTGATCTTTGTATGATTGGAGGGGATGTTTGCTAAATAGAGTAATCCATTTTAATTCATGTTTATTTTTAACATGAACTTTAGTAACTCAAAACCTTCGAGACACATATCACCTACTGCATTGTATCATTTTGCCTGGGTGCTTGCTGTGTTGTCAAACTTCTTTGTTGCTGCTGCTTTTACACTAACAGGGGAGTTAAGAACCCATGAATGTTTCCGTTTGACACAAACAGGAGGACTTGCTTCTAAATCGTGCACTAAAGATGATTGGAGGAAACATCTCTATTGCAGTTGATATACTGGAGACCAGAACAAAAGCAATGTATAACATCAAAACCAACCATCTGAACTATTAGCATTGTTGCTTTACTATTTTTTCGTGGTTGAGTCTCCTTCAAAAAATTTAGTTTGATTTTAGAAAATTTTGCTTCTGCAGTCCTGTCTTGCCACCAATGCGTTCAGTAGATGGAGATGGCAGAGGCGAAGGCTATTTTTGTGTTGTTGTTGCTGGTTTAGGGATCGGTTTGTGAAGAAGAGGGAGAAGAGAGGGGGAAAGGGAAATGCAGGAGAGGGGGGTAACTCTTTTCTCTGACAAAAATGGAGTGAAGAAAGGAATTATGATCAGTAAGGATATGGTTATCTTACATAACGGTCTCTATTCTGTTTGAATTGAGCTTGGGAGGCAGTGATAAGGACGAGCTGCAACCAATTCATAGTGAGAAGAGAGCTATGAACTGTGATCATGTCTTATTTCAAGTTAGAAGGTAGTTTCAGTATAAGGATTATTTAATTTGACAAGTTGTTTCGTCCATGATTCTTGGTAGTTTCAGTGCCATTCTAGCCATTGTTTAGTCTGTAATTTTTGAGAATTGATGTGCGAGTAATGACTTTCACTTAGCTTCAACTATTATGTGTGTATTTATTGACATGTGATAGAAATCTCTTTTCCTTTTCTTTGGATTCAGTTTCATACTCTAATTGTATCATTTGTACATAGGCAAATCATGCTCGAGATGACAACTCGCTGATAAGGCTGGTGCAAGGAACGGAGCCATCATTAGAATTCATACCGACAACGGGGAGGGATGCCCAGAACTAATTCAATGATGATTGATGATGGTATAATAAAAACTGCAGTCTGCATCAACACCAATTTCTAGGCCTAAGTAAAGTTATTCAACCCAGAACTCTGCTTAGCGCTAAAAATTTCCCTCACCCAACCTTGATCCTGTTTGACCCACTTCTGAAGAGTCAAGATATATGAATATGACTAATCCTCTCCGCTCGTATTTTCTTATTGACTCTTTCTGACCCTTTAGGTTGGGGCGGGTCGGGAAGAATCGGATTAGTGGGTCGGTCCTAATCAAGTGGAATCCCAATCCCTTCACTCTCACTTGCTTTATTTCCTATTCGACAAGTGGATAACAAACAGTAATCCGGCCAACGGGCCGGGTAATAGGCTAGTTGAATACGATAAGAGACGGTTAAATAATAAGGAATATCGATATGAGATTTTGCTTATTACTAAATCACTAACCATCGTATCTATGGTTAACGAAATCAAACCAATTACCACCCCTACAGGCTACAATGCTTTTGTCTCTAGTTTGTTAGATCAAACGCATTGGAGCCGTCCGCGTAGCTCTGTCGCCAACTTTTCCCAAACGACTACCGTCAGGATTGGCCCGCCGCAGAAAAAGACAAAACTTCCATACCGCAAATTCTTTGCACTCCACTCCCATTCTAATTTATTGATACTTGAAAATCCAATCTATCGGATCTCTCCATCTATTCATCCTTACTCCCTTCGTCACCATCCACCTCCACATTCCACCGCCATGTCAACCCAACCGCCGCCGCCCCTGCCGCTCGACTTCTCCGCCGTCTTATCCGAATCGAAGCGCATAATCAACGCCCACTCCCGCCACTTCCTGGCCCTCTCCGTCCTATTCCTCCTCCCTCTCTCCTTCTCCGTCACCGTCTTCTCCACCATCCACAACCTCCTCCTCCACCAACACTCCGGCCACCGCCCCAAATCCCTCCTCTCCCGTCCGCCGCCGCTCCTCCCCAGCCTCGCCCAATTGAACTCCCAATCCTCCGATCAGTTCAATTTCCCCCGCCACCACCACCACCACCACCACGATGACGACGACCTCCAACTCCCAATCGAAACCCTTGCCCTCGTGGCCTGCTTCGCCCTCTTCTTCTTTGTCTTCACTATCCTCGCAATCGGCTCCATCAGTTACAGCGTCCTCCACGGATTCTATGGCCGACCCGTCAAGTTCGTCTCCGCCATCAAATCCGGGTTGACTTCCTTCTTCCGTCTCTTCATCACCCACATCGTCGTCGAGCTCCTGCTTTCCCTGGTGGCGCTTCTCTTCCTCTGCTCATTCTACTTCGTAATCAAGGGTTTGGACTTGGTGTGTCTCGAAATCGACACCGATTCTCCTTACTTCCTCGCACTGGCCGTCGTCTACTCCGTCGTCCTGCTCGCCGTTCTCCTCTATTTCAAAGTAAATTGGTCTATCTCCTCCGTGATCGTCGTGGCGGAATCCAGCTGGGGAGTTCCAGCATTGAGGCGCAGCGGGTATTTGGTGAAAGGGATGCGGCGAGCGGTTCTCTACTTCTTCCTCTCGTTTGGACTCGTCTCCGGGATATTGACTTGGACCAGCTCGATCGCAGCCGCGAAATTGGGCGGCGACGCCCTTGGCGGCAGCCAAGGATGGAATAGCTGGTTCTTTGTGGCTCAGATTGTGGTGACTTCCGCTCTTTTGACTCTGATTTTGCTCTACTTCTTCGCTGCGCAGACGGTTCTGTATATGTACTGCAAGGCTGTTCGCGGGGAGCTTGCTTCAGAGATTGCGCAGGAATTCGCGAGGGAGTATGTCTGCTTGCCTTTCGATGATGAAAAGGTGCCTCATCTTGTTTCTGTTGTCTACACTTGATAAGAAAGAACGAGCAATTTCCCCCTGTTTCTGTGCCTGTCCTTGTGTTTGTGTAACAAAGACGGTTTCTTCATCTTGTAACTCAGAACCATGGATCTTGTGAATAATAGTACGTTATAGACTGAAGTTTACTGATGGAATCGTTTGTTGAGTTTGCTTTTATTATGCTGGCTTGATTATGGGTTTGTGTCTGGGTATTTACGTTGCTGTAATGTACTAGATATAAGATCAAAGGAAATCAAGGTCATTTTCACATTGGAACTATCTGTGGAGTTAATGGGTCATTTACGTTGATTTTTATGATGTAATGGTGATACCATGGATTAAGGCATTTAAGCTCTAGTCCTATGCTGCGGTGGCCATTCATAAGAATGCAGCTGAACATTATGAGCACTACACATATCCTCAGTTCCCAGTTAGGGAGAGCTGTTCTTGCAAACTGCATTGGATGAGAGAGAGAGAGGGAGAGAGCACAATAAGTTGTACAGAATCAGCTCAATTGGCATTTGTTCTTCCACCTTGAACCACCACCCGCCTTCTGAATCCAGAAGCCAAACTACAAATATATATCAATAAGCTAAGTGAATTGGCCAACTACCCAGGTATCACTTTGGCCCAAGAATGAAAGAATTGTTTAAATGCATGAGGGAGACCGGCAAACAAAAACGAAAGCTTAAAGCTTTCCACTATAAGTTTGGCTCGATGATGGTGCTGCTGCTTTCAGTCTCATAATCCCTTCATCCTGATTCGCCTGGAAGAGAAGATTGCTCCAGTTAGTCGCTCTCTGCAAAATCCTGGTAGGAACCCTATCACTATCTTCACCACCAGAAGCTTCATACCCATCACTAGTAGATCTCGAGAGAGGGAATCCATTGTTAGAACCACCCACAATTGGAAGGAGACCAGTGAGCCTCCTTGAATCTTCAGCTCCTGATGAAGAAACCTGAAATGGGTGAATATCTGGCGACTCTAAGCTACTGCTTTCAGGAGATGATGCAGCAACAACGCCAACTGAGCTTGCCAACGTTGAACATCTACTTGGCTGGAAAGCACTCCTAGCCTCGAACTGAAGTGGGGCTAAACTTGAGGAAGAAGTTCCCGTGAAAACTTTCCCTGCTGAGACCCCAACAGCAGTTACAGGCTGCTCCATTGGCAAATCAGCTGGGAGTCTTACCCTTTTGCTAACTCGTCTTCTGTTGTCAAGTCTAGAGACCATTCGGTCCCCACTGCTTCCAAAGCTGTTATCTCTCGCTAGCGAGAATGATGGTTCCTGTCTCATCACAGGTTGTAGGATTTTGGACTTCTTTCTGGCATCAGCAGCAGCTTTGGAGACCTCATCAGCATTCAGTTTAGCCAATGTCCAAGGACTGATCTTTACGGCAGCTGGGTTTTTCTTCTTCATTGGGTCTTCTCTGATCGCTTTTTTACCATAGGAACTTACGGATCCAGTGTCCGGTGGAATAACATCAAACTGAGAATAGTGATCAGCAGAATTCAGAAAGGTCTGAAAGATTGAGATTCTCCACTTGAATTTCGAACTAACAGGAAAATGAGAACAGACATAATGTTGCCTAAGGTTACCTGGTCTTCAAGAAACAGACGAGGTGGTGTACACCAGGCACCACGGTGGAATGTCGAGAAGGAGCTGGCACTACTTAGTCCAGTAAGTGAGCTGACTTGCGACATTTGAGGACTCTGCTGACCTCCGACTCCTTCCTGCTCTTGTTCCTGCTCCCTTAGAGCTATTATGTAATCATAAGTGCTGATTCCCTGAGGCATCAGGATTACTAATGTTAATCAGCCATCAGCTTGTTGACATTTCTACTAAAATGGGACTTAGTTTATCAGAACTGCATTCTAAGCTCAAAGTGAGGCTAGTGAACCTTTTTTACGAGCAAGATGTGGAAGAAGAACAGTTGGGCCAGGGGCAGAGTTGCAAGCATGGCCAAAATGGTGCACAATGCCTGCAAAAGCAAATGTTAATCATATGCTAATGAAGTGGCGAGATGGGAATTTGTTAGTAATTAGTAATAATCACGTGGTTTGAATTCAAGTTAGCAATAGAAATGATCAGCAAGCAAACTCACCACTACCATCACAAAGGGCACCATAGAGAAACTGCTACCCAACTTGGATGAGATATCCATGACAAATCGTTTCTTCTCGACGAAACAGCAAATAAGTACAAGAATCCCAGTTGCCCATTGGAATATAAGCTGTAAATCTCAAGCCCAAGGAGCAGAAACCATGTACATTACCTGTTAAGAATACAACAAAACTGAAACTGACTTGGAAGATAAGGCTTCTGTAGATCCGGCACTTACCAAGAGGAGAGCAGAGACCATGAGCGTGAAGAACTTTCTGTAGTTCTTCTTGCCTATACAATTATTAATCCACTGCAAAAACCAATGCCCTCAAATGAGTTAGAGAGACAAAGTTCGAAGCTTTTTCAAACAATTAAGAATCTTGTATTACCCTGCAGTGATGGTCAAACCGGTCAACACATTTATTGCAAACTCTACAATGCTTGCTGTACTTGAAAACCTGGCAGAAAACCGTAATTCAATAATAAGATATCTCAATAAATCTTCCAAGAACTGATATTAAGAATAATTACCAACCTCAACTTCACACAAACTGCAATAGAACATGCCATCTTCACTCAACTGCTCAGAGTGTTTATCACTTGGATTGCACCTACCACATATGAAAGCAAAAGGAGAGAGAGCCAACAACAAACAAGAAGACTTTGCCTTGGTCTCATTCTTCAAGTCTGTTACAACTGCAGCTGCATTTGCACCCTCCCCCACACCCTTCTCAACTGACTTCCCTCCAATGGTGGATGAATTCCCATCCTGCATTGATGAGGCTGATTCCGTACCTTGTTTCAGGGCTTTATGCTGAGGATGGTTCTCATTCTCTGGAATTTTAAGGTACTTTTTGGATCTGAAAACTCCAGGATCTGCAGGATCAGATGCTGCACACCAAATATATAGGCCGAAGACACACATGATCTGGAAAGGGAAACAGATGATGTTAAAATACATGGCCTGATTTTAAGGACATTTAAGGAGCAACCACCATTAGCTTGTAAGTGGGAAATTGAGCTAACCAGAGATTATGGAACAGTTGCTATGTAAGTTCATTCAGAAGTCAGTGAAAAGTGACAGCTAAGCAGCCCATTTATCCCCCTTGTCAATTACCAAAACAGAGATGAGAAAGTAGAGAAAGGTTACACACTGGACTAATCTAATCCAAGAGATGAAAACTTGGAGTAAAACAATAGTATTCTAAGCAATGTAAGGAACCATCGCCAACACTAAGCGACCAAACAAACTGAAGCAACCCTAAATAAAAAACCAGAATTAGTCACCCAATTCCTCGAATTTCTGCTCTCTTGAGCTCCTTCATGTTGACTGATTGGTACGTCTCAGAACATAGTTAATTAGAGAATCCAATGAATTCAGACCAAATATCAACAGTGTGATTAGGATTCAGAAGCTCCAACCCCATAGCCATTCATTAGATGGAAATTCAAAAATAGACAGATTGGAACAACAAGGAGAATAAAGAAAGAGACAACAAGAAAAAGACAGACATGGATGTAAAAAGAGACAAATCAGGAAAAATTATCCACTGATAGTATAGATCTCAGCAAAGCAATCTTGCAGGAGGAAAGGAAACAAAATGGAGAGGGGGAAAGCGGGAATGGGATTTTACCAGAACGGTGTAGATTCCCATTGCAATGTATTGAAACATATTCCTTCCCACAAAAGGAGCAAAAAACACGTAGAATGCGAAACCCATAGCCAGAAACACAGCAACAGCCACCACCTACACCAAAAAGAAGTAAAATTTTCAGAACACTCGGGATTTCAACAAAGATTTTACCTTCTTGAACACAAGTTGCACAATTTTTAGTTAAAAAGGAGATACCTGAAGTGGGTGATATGGAAGTTGCCAACCATGCTTCCTCATCTTTAGCCCAAAAATGCAGAAAGGGGGAAATGAAGAAATTTCTCTACTTGGGGAAAGGAATGTTGAGAAAGAAGGAACCAACTCTGCTGGGGTTTTGTTCTTCTTCTCAATCACATCCCTTTCCTTCCCTTTTCCTCATTTTCATTGAAGACAAACACTATTCCAGTCATCCCACCGCATTGCGCACCAACCAAACAAGAAAAGGGCAAGAAACAAAGCAAGGTGAAAAGATAAGGAATAAGGGAGGGGAGAGGAGAGGAGTTGGTGGAGGAGGAATGATGGGCAATGAGGGTGAAAAGAAACAAGCTTTGTTGTCTGGTTTCAATTAATCATTCTGCTTCATTAGCTCATGGAATGTGAATAGAGAAGGATGGAGGGGAGAAGGGAAAGGACGACACACTACTAAATGAATTTTTTTCAGAAATACCACGGTTAATTTTGTTTTTTTATAAAAATAACACTCAATTTGGAAAATTTTCACAAATACCATCATTTCTTTGAAAGTGTCACATGGGGAGATGATTTGGCTAACCTAGAACAGACAGTTTGTTGATAGAGCGGTTCTACGTCGAAAATAGAAATCGCTTATTTAACAAGCGGTTTATGTTGTCGACACACAAATCACTGGGGGTGCGGTTTATGTATAATCCCCATTCCGCCAACAGTCGGCATGCAGGGGGCAGCAGGCATGGGGTTGCGTGTCTGGTGCAAACTGCTGAGGGGCGGTTTTCACTTGACATTTTGTCTATAAAAGGCAGCCCCGGAAACCTTAGCACTTCACCCATCTTCATATTCTTCTTTAAGTTTCTGTTTTGCGATTTGTGTTTTGAGTTTTAGTGATTAACGTTATTTTGTAAGTTTGTTTTGTATTACTTTTTATCGTAAGTTTGTTTTGCAATTAATATTGACAAATTTTATAGTATTAATTTAATTACTGTTTTATTGCAGATGACATTCCAAATGTTCACGCTTGGATTATGGTGGAATGGTTATACGGAAGAGACCGAAAAGGGATTACGTGGATGGTAATTTTCATAAGGTGAAGGTCGCTAGGAGACCGAACCTTGAAGAGCTCCGTCAAATTTGTACTGAGGTTACTTGCTTGGGTGACACGAGAAGAGTTGATCGTATGGTGTATCGATATCCAAACAGACAAGGCGAGTCGTTGTGGCATGAGGAATTCTTGATAACCACGCAGGCGGAAGTAGATGACATGTACCTTGTGATCGTTCCAAACATCACTTGAACGATGGTTAGGTTGGTTGTATAGCACGAATGGATCAATCGTTCCTTGATCAACATTATATCTTTGATTGTATATATCCACGTCCTCCCTAACCTACGACAGCATAACAACAATATAAATTAATTAGTATATAGATCAAATAAAAAAAATTTAACAACAACAAAAATTTGGTAAAATGAGTACGTACCGTTTGATAGTCATCATAATAAATATCCTCTTCTTCGGAAAAAATCAACCATTTTTTCAAGAAGCCAGACAGAGATTCAACGAGATTCGATGGGTTTTGAAGGAAAAACCAAAGTAATATTTTCTGATGGTAGTTCGGACTTAGCCGCAACCAACAACCTACTATTTCGTAGGTTTTTGGGTAGATAGGGGAATGGATGGAGAGATAATCTCAGAGAGAGAGAGAAGAATGGGTTTTGGTGTGAAGAATCAAGGAGAGGGGGTGTACCTCCTCTTTCAAAGCTCCTATCTCTTCTCTGCTTCGTTGGTCGTACATTAAATTCCCTAGGCCCGCTCAACTTCACTCTTCGCCACTAAATTGACAGCGGCAGCGGGGAGCAGTTCATCATCCCCTTCGAATTCCATACACCAAAGCTCGCAAGTTGAAGAGGTATTATGTAATCTCTTCCCTTACTGCTTTCCTTCCATTTTTGGTCAACTCTCCCTATTCCAAGATTTGATGCCACTTATCCTTCCTCTTTCTGTAGTTTGGGGTAGTCTAGCATCGATTTCGTGCATTAATTTTGAAACGTTATTTAAATTTTGGATTCAGGATGTTTTTAGGGTTTGAAACCGAATAAATAAGGGGTTTTTAGTTTTGACGGAATTCGATATTCCTTCTTTCAATGGAATTTGGTTTTCAATATCTATGGGATTCCTCTCATCTTTGGAGATTGTTTAATTTTTCGTTTCTTTTCTTTTCTTCATTATTGAATTCAAATTAGAGGGATCAAGGGGATTCATGACTCGTCCCGAATATCACAATTAATTCCCGCCTAAGAGCCAAGTATAAACCCTAGTAGGTGCAATACAGGGCAAGTATGTTTAAAATATCGACTCGAGCCGGTCCGTGTACCCCTACTTCAATTGTTTGAAACATTATCTAGTGAATCGGATTTAGTTGAAAGGATTGCTAATTAAAGTTAAGCAAGGCAAAAGTAAGCGGTTTTGAAAGCTCAATCTGAGAAGGATCACTCGGGTGTCGCTTCCCCCTAACTACTAACATGACATGAGGAATTGAATTAATTGTTACAGGCAAGGTGACCGCGAACCGCTAGGAAATGAAACTATGGTCGTAGACCACACTCTCGTTTGCCAAACCAAGGGATACATTATAGGCTACTCAAGTAGCCCTCTTGGTTAAGGCAATCAATAGTTGACTTACTCTCTCTCTCTCTCTCTCAACCCAATGGTTGGTCGGCTTAATCGCGCTAACCAAATTGCTTAATTCAACATAGAGGTTTGCCCTACATTAACCTAGATAGGTGGCTTAAAAAGCCCAAGAAATCCCAACTCAATTGAGCCTCCCTTGAAAGGGATTTTCCTTCTCATCTAGGTAAAAATGACCAATTGGATTGCTAAGCACAAACATGCACAATCAACATGAAAAATACCTCAACCATTGAATTAAACAACACCCATAAACAATCATTCAATTCACCCAACAACTACATGGCAAATAGTTAAAGTTTCACAAAACCTAAGTGAAAAAGAGTACTATTCCATGCTAGGAAGGGGAAGAACACAAGAGGAAGAGATAGAAACCATCATGGTGATGCCTCCAATCTCTTTTGAGCTTGTGTTGATCTTCGCTTGGAGAGAATCTTCCCAATCCACCACATATAGCAAACCCTAGCCTTCTTTCTTCCTTGGTTCGTCCTTTCTCTCTCTAAAATATGAAGAAGACACTTTCTCACACTTTGGGCTCTCCCTTCTCTCTTCCTTTAAGCTCACATTAAGTACCAGGATCGGGCTCAGTTCACGGCCGTGAAATCTTCAACGCGTCCGTGAATACAGAGCGCGATGTCGAAACGCACCGCTTCAACATCAGGAGTTCACGGTTTGGCCTCAATCTTCACGGTCTTGTTGACCGTGAACTCGTCTCGTAGTAGTAACCGCGGATTTTTGTAACATCCCGGTATTTTAGATTTAGGTTCTGTAACACCCTAACCCGGCCGAGTACTACTTTTACTAAAATGCCCTTGATAAATAAAATACTCAAATCTTAAATTTCAGCGGGCGGGAAAAATTTTCATAAATAAAATACTGAAACGCACACTTGTAGCTCAGAGCAAAGCCCTAACACGTGGGCAAATTAAACTCAAACTTTAAAATCTCAATCTGATCTCCAATCTATACTCATAATCATAAATGAAAATAACGAATAATCTCTAATGTTGATGCTACTGAAACCTTGACTAAGCATCCTCTGTGACGCTTACAGCTCTCCTCTAGCTGTCTGCCCTCAAATTCGCTGCTCACTAAATGCTCCTCTAGCTCTTCAAACTGGTGAGTGAGATGGGGTCAGTCTACGCCCTTACGTTTAACATCTTATTAATACTTGATCACTTTACTTAACTGAGTGGAAGTTGTTTTGTACCTCCACTATTAAAAATCTTGACTCTAGAAACTGTACTCTTAAAACTCAAATCTCTACTTAAATTCTTGACTGACACGGGGATCCCTCACTAGCTAGTCCGGTTGCCAACTCATACGTATGAGAAGCCATTCAGGCTTTCCTTAAACTTAAACTTAGTTAGGGAAGTCGTAACGATTCATCCCCCTAACATCTTAAACTTATCGTGATGGCTCTTCACCACGATTCTCAAGGGCATAACTGCTGCCCATCTTAAAAGTCTCAAGAGCATAACTGCTGCTCTATCTTAAAATGTCTCAAAGGGCAACGGACTGACGCTAGTGACTAAAAACACTTAAAACGACTTCACCTTCTTGAAGGTGAGTTACTTCTTAAAAATAACTTATTTCTTAAACTTTAACAATAACTCAAACATAACGCTTTAAGGTAAATAGTACAAAATCACCTCATATCACCTCAAATAGCACAAAATCACCTCAAATCATAGCTCAAGCAAAGCACAAATAATCAATAATAAACATAACCAAGCAACGGTAATCAATTCGCTAAAATACTTAAAATCATAATACTTAAAATAATACGTAAGGCGTAGAATTTACCCCATTTACACTCAACTGATAATTAGTCGCTTTACTATATCTAACAGTCACCTAATGGCCCACGACCTTCAAACCTTCTTCTCCTTTTGTTAATTCCGACTTCACATGCCATAGCAAAGACGGATCCTCCCATTAAAATGTAACCCACTTGCATTTACGTTACCCATCCCATGCATATACAAGAGTCCAAAAAAAAAAATGATGACTTGCCTTTACCTTTCTCACCCTCTTCTCCCCAAGGAAGTTACGGATTTCAAAGGCTTTGTGGGCGTTGGTGATGGATGCGTTGATGGGGGAGCTGTTGCTTCTTCTTTTGTGTCGGAGTGGGGCAAGAGAGAGGGATTGGCCGAAACTAAAGATTTATAGGTTTCTTCGCCATTTATATACTTCCCCGGACTTGCTCACCAGTTTACCTAGCACCGTGTCTTCCTCCGACGACCAGGGCCCCTTCACTTACTGGTCACCACTCCTCCGCTTTGCCTCTCGTACTGGGGAAAACAAGGGCGGCGGTGTAGAACACCACTGAATGCAATCTGACAGTTTATTACGATGAAACAGAACTGTACATATAGAGTTGGTGCAGGCCACAAGCCAGGCTGCTACCAAAAACCACCCACTAACCTGAAAACTAGGCTACTCTAACTGCACGAGCACTTGATCAGCTAAGGGAACTCAACTGCACAAGTTTGCTCAACTAGGACTAAACTGACACTAAACCAAACACAAGGACTGACCCAGCAAATCTACAAACGACGTAGTTTGCTTATTACACAGAATCATTAAACATAAACGACATCACTTTGACTAACCCGGCTTTATTCAAATATTCAAATATCCCACTTGGTGCCCTTCCAATCCTGATGCAATAAGGATTCAAATGTTGACTGCAGACTTCAATCTACCATATCCTCCCCTGAACTGGAGCTCATTCGATTCAAGCTTCAGTTCACTGCATCCTCCCCAGCTCTT